TAGATAATTTTAGCTTATCCCGTCCGTTATACATTAAACGCGCTCGCGAAAACGTATTCTGCGCTTGCGCAGACGCATATGCGCAGTCGTAAAGGTCTTGCGCGCACGCGTAACCGCCTATGCGCATGCGCAGAAAGATTTTAGCTTTGAGGTCCGGATTATGGGTGTCCGAATTAACGACTTTTGACTGTATATGCAAAATTCAATTAACACTGCAGGGTTAAGATTTTGACTGCTAATTTAAAACAAAACTGCTCCTGAGATTTTCATAAACCTTTTCACTCTGACCAGTGGCGTAACTAGAACTCTTGGGCCCCTATGCAAAAAATTTTCCTGGTCCCCTTTCCCAATAAATGTAATGTGCTTAAAAAAAAAAAAAAAAAAAAAAAAAAAGAGAGAGAGAGAGATTTTTATCACATCTGGATTAATTGTTAAAAAATAAAAGCACGTTCTTAGGGAACCTTTTGAAAGGTATGTAACATGAAGAAAGAATAAAAAGGAAAATAATTTCTCTTGACCAACTGGTGAAATGAAAATTTGGTTTAGTCTGGGTATTTGACGTCAGATGATTTTAATTCAGTTACTTAAGACTTTTTGTGTGAGAAAAAAATCCTTCTTTTAAAATTTGTCTCCTAACCTTCATTTGCGCAAAATTATTTATCAATACTTGGACATCCATTTTCTCAGCCATCTCAGCTTCAATGCTCAATAGTGAAAGGTTTGACAACCGATCTTGTGTCATACAGTTTCTTAAATATGTTTTGATTGAAAATGACCTCTCACTCGTGGCTGTGGTTACAGGTAATGATAAATATAAGTAAATTGCACACTCCCGAATAACTGCTTTTCATGTCATTATATTTTACCTTTTCTAATTTAGCTAAATTAGTTAAAGGATTACATTTTGGATTTCTGTTCTGAAAGTATTTATAAATAATAAAAGTTGTACTTCCAGGGCAAGTCTTCTTTATATGTTTTCTGTATTTTTAAAAACATTACTAATAATTTCCGTATTTGTTAACAATGACAGTGTTTTAGGTTCTTAATTTCTCTTTTATTTTTCAAATTTAGTTTCTATGCCCCATTTATTTGCAATAAACTCAGCTTCTTTCATAATGTCTTTAAACTTGTTTCTCATATCTTGCATATTAATAGAAATACTTTTTAGATGTTGATGAACTCCATTCAAGTCCATTGATTTTCGATTGTCGAGCCGATTGATTTGTTGATCGATCCTGCACTATAGCGCAGGACGTATTTAAAAAATTTTGCTTTTAATTTTGGCCTGTTATGATGTTCTTAATGTATGGAAACATAGATTATATTTATATTTCATATTTATCATAAAAATATTTCATGTTAATATAACAATACGTTATTAATGTTAGTAGACATTTGCATTGTTAATGGTGATAATTTTGGATTTTTCAGATAAATGGATTAAAAGTTTAGCTGAATTGAATTTTTAGTAAGTTTTAAATTATAATAATTTAGTTTAAGATTAATTTAGATATTACAAATCAATAACTGACCTTTATAATGAAGAAACTTCTGTTTGTTCTCGTCATAGTTAGAGAAATGGCATTAGAATAAGAGCAAGTTTAATGCAGCTGTTTAACGAAGAAAGGGACCCTGCCTCGACTAAAATTAAAATTAGATAAATTTCCAGTGTCTCCCCAAGTTGAGTCACAGTAAATCTTTCATCCAAGACATTATTGCAAAGATGTCCATTGACCATTTCCCTTTTAAAACATTGAAACATCTGTTTTTTTCTTTTTCCCTTCAGTCAAATTGTGCTATTATTATTGTCACATTCCAATGATACATAATACATCACCTGCAATATCTTTCTACATTTTTTCTGTACTATAAATGCATTACAGTTAATGTATAATTATTAAATATTTAACAGTCAAAATTATGGATATTCGAATATTTTTAGAAAATTCTTCACAAGTTTATGATGAAATGATAAACAGGTAGAAACAAATTTTATTGATATGTATCCAAAGAGCTTTGAAAATGATCGTGTAATATGAAATGGAAATTTTAAAATTGATCTAAATTTAAATATCCACCGTAGCAAAATATGACGATTCCCTTCCAAGTTTCAAGGTCCCAGAAATGTTTAATAATTTAGAGTTAAGCTTATTGATACTAGCATATATTTGAAGATGAGTACTCACACTCATCATGGATTCTAAAAGTAGTACACATAAATATTCTTTTAGGAAACAAGTAGAAAGTTTCTTCATAATTAGTAAAAATAAAATTGTATGAAACAAGTTTTGCGTACTTCGTAGAGAAATGCACAAAACTTCATTTATGAAAATAGGTTTGTTGTATCCCAGGTGGATCAGAAAGCAAAAATCAGTTAGGAAAAGCGGATATATTTTAGGAGCATTAATATTTATGATTATTGTTATGTTTCATTTGCATCTTAGAAAGCTATTTATGTCTCAAAAATTAATGACCTCAGATTTCCAGTCTTTAAATTGCTTATAAATTAAGCAGTATTAATTTTTTTATCTTAATCATTAATTTATTAATGACAAAAATATAAAAAATAAATATAATGTATGAGAACATATATTAACAGAAGCTATTTATATCTTAGAAGGGTTATGCAGAGATGCTGAAATGAAGGAGAATAATGTACAAAGGGATTTTTTTAGCGAAAATCGCATCATTTACTATTAAAACGTGTTAATTAAATTTTTTAATTTGCAAAAATTATTGAAATGTTGCAATAGCGGAGGAGCATTCTTTTCTGAAATATTCCTTTTCGTTTGTGTAGTGAAAATAGCAATGTAATTCGCGTTCTTTCAAATGTTGAAATGCAACTTAAAACTATTAGGGCAACGCTGCCATTGATATGTTTAATATTTTCAGTAATTAATTTATCGAAATTTACGAAGTAGTATATACTTTTAGTTGTGTGATGCCATTTTTACTTTCATTATTAGATTATTATTGATGATTTCACGTACTGAATGCTGTGGAAAGTAAATTAAAAGCAAAAGTAAAGTAAATTGTAAAATTTCATTTCAAATAACAATTAGAAAGTACTCCATGAAGTCGTTCTTCCCCTTAGGCAAATAGTCCTTGAGTGCTTTATTATTATATAATAATTCAATCCAATTCCGTTTAAATTACGTACAAATTATTGCGCATTACTCAATTATACTCTTAAACGTTTCACATCGTTAAAAAAAAATTGTAATTTATGATATTTTTTTCAAACGAAGAGAGATTTAATAAATTACTTTCAAAACAAATTTAATGTCTTCAGAATTATCTCTTACAGAGAAGTGTGAATTTTTGGTAGATGGGTAATTTACAGGTTAAGAAACACTACAGCTCTTCTCTTTTCAAAAGCAAATCAAATAAATCCTCAAACGAGTTCTGTGCTTTCAGATTTAATTCTCGATTAGGGATTTAAAAAAATTCCTAACCTGCATTTTATCTGCAATGTGCAAATATTTTGAAAATTTGTGATATGAAAAATTGGATAAATATTTATTTACTCATTATTTCAAGTAAAAATATTCATCCATTCCCATTTCCTACCCCCATGAGTGAAAAAGTAATGAATTTCAATAAATTTAATGAAAAAAATTTCATTAAATTTACGCTGGAAATTAACTGAAATATTTGGCTGCTTAATGTTTGAGCATCTGTGTGTTCGTAGCCTGTAGTAAAACTTCCCCCCTTTTTTTCAGACCTTGAATTCATTCAAAGATCCCTAAGCCAAACGGGAAATTTCTCCTTTCCAAATGTGGTGTCATAAATTCTTAGTGTTTCCTTAGAACGGCATTTCGACATGGGGGTGGGGCAAAGTTCTTTCATGCCACAATGGCTCAACTTACATTAATGATTTTGCATCCTTAAGAAAGAAAAGCATGTATTCTGGAGTTATCAATTAATATTTACTAATGATTCCCCCCTCCAGCTTATTAGTGTAAAAAACAGAGAAAAAAAATCCATCCCGCCTTTAACTTTGCCATTTTGTAATGTCATTTGTGCTTCTAAATCCAAAATGTTTCTGTCCCTTACCTTGCCTCTTGGTGCGACTGCACAGGTTGCAAGTACCATCGTTTTTTACATTGTGAGAACTATACATTCAAACATGCAGATTCTTCCTTATTTCATTTCTTTAAAAATAATACAGGGAGAAATTATTTGATGGCAACAATTTGAAAAGTGATATGCCGTTTATAGCAAACCAACGTGATGCATGTTATATTAAATTGTAAGAATCATTCACATTAATAAATTCAATTTCAAATTGAATATTAGGACTGATTTTTGGACTAGAGTTTAATGGAAAAGCTAGTAAACGATTCAATATATGAACAAAATTAAACACTACGGAATGACATATTATGAAAATTACAAACTGTAAATAATATGATTTCTCTTAACTTGCAAAGTTCATTCCAAATTAAGTACCAGAATCCTGCCTAGTTACTTCTTTGATTTATTACATTTAATTCTGAATACCAATTCAAAAAGGTTAGTTACAGCGAGTCTACACATATCATTTTCTATTATCATCTTACTGATATAAAAAAGAACTAAGCATTTATTTTACCACAAGACAATTAGTGGTAAAACACATATGCCGGTCTTTTTCATGAGTTGCAGTTTTTTTTTTTTTCCATATAAATCTTCCAGCTTTACATAACAAAGGCATTTAATTTTTAATCTAATAAATAAACATTCACATTTCCTCTTTAAATTATATATCAAACAAATTAGCAACTAAAGATTCAAAAGTATTAATAATCCCCCTCCTAATTATCTTTCCTATAGTCAAGCAGGCAAGCTTGAAGAAGTTTTTGTGGTTTTCCTCAATTATAATGTAAATAAGAGACATTTTCACTTAGACTGCATCAAATAATCCATCCCAACTCAATTTATTTCAAGACAATAAACTGTTAGAAGCTTTAAGATTAAAATCTGTGGCACAACCCAAAATAACACCCATAAATTATAGACAAGTTTTTACTGTTTTAATTAGGTTCTCAATTCAATAAAAAACAGTATGCAAATGATAAAACAGACAAAATAGAATAGAAGTATATTTTAGATAGAGCTTCAAATCCATGAAATTTTCACATAATATATAAAACATTATCATAAATTACTGGAAGGAAATAATTACACAAAAGTATGGTTCCTTTTTTTTTAATTGAGGGCAACATAAATTTTAATAATTTTTACAATACACCATACATAATACTAAAAATAACAGTCAAACTCTGTATGGTGGGATGGCTAAAACAAATAGTCTGTACTGTAAACATACAAAAATGGTTCAAAATTTAGTAGCAATTACAAACTAGTCACTACAGAAAATAACAAATGTAGCATGATAACCTTCATGTTCAGGGTTAAATTGTTAATGCTAAAATCACACCATAAAGATAGAATGAGAGACAGATATTTTAATCATAACTTTTTACACAAAATATTATTGAATATTAATATGTCAAACGAAATACTCTTAATACACATTTTTGACAATGCTCCTAATATAGCAATATTTTAAAATAAAATACAAATTATGTTTGTTTACACATGATATGAAAATATTTATTTTATTCACAAAATGTAAAGATGGTACATGATGATCAAATAAAATAATTTACAGTTAAGATGACAAAAGATTTTTTTTTTTTTTTTTTTTTTTAGTGAAATACAAATCTACTAAAAACAAGTGAAATTTCTTTACTCAAATAACAATATAGTTATATTATTTTTTAAAATACACTGTCTTATGTATTTAAGGTTCATTTTCAACACACTCTCTATTTTGATTTGCCAGTTATTTGTTTCTTATCAAAACTAAAATCTTCAAGTTTTAAGGGTGACTTGGTTCTGGCTAAATAAGCAGCAAGATCAGGTTTTGAGCGAAATTTCAGACCCTCAGGACTGTAAAAGATTTTTAAAAACACATTAAAAACTGTATATGAAATATTTAGACACATTTACATACATTACAGACAACAGTTTTATATTTTTGACATTGAATATGCATTTAAATAAGCACATAAGAAGTAAAATTTTTAAATGATGGTTTGCAAAACTTTAACAGGATACAAGATCAGAGCTAAGCTAGATGTTTGATAAGCATATTAGCACTACCATTTAGGCTTCAAAAATATACTGATACACCTTTAAACATATGCAATTCAAAAACACTCCAAAAATACACCTTTAACCATAATAATAATAAGGATTTCATTCTAGTAAGGTTTAGTCTGAAAAAGCATATTGAATTTTTTATTGCATACTATCAAACTAATAATAACTTATTTTATTACTGATCTACTCCATATAAAGCTAACAGCATAAAAAAAATTTTGATGTATTAAGATTTGTTCATTATTGTGAAGTTTCTACGCTGGGAGGAAAGCAGGACTATACACAAAAATACTGCAATCTATGATACTGCACTACAGTGGTTAAAGGTTTTTATTATTTACCAATACATGCAGATTAATACCATTAAAATTACATATTGAGACCTGCCTAAGTACATATTTACTCTGACCTTTTGCCTGCTTTTCTATAAAACTTACTTAATAATTAATTAGGATAAAATTATGCAATGTATAGCACTTTTGATGGGAAGCAGGGAGGGGGGAAAAAAAAAAAAAAAAAAAAAAAAAAAAAGCCATATTCTCGGCGGATTAAAAATCAAATGTATTATTATTGAATTATTACTACTGAATAATATATTTCAGAGATGCAATTATAACTATTCCCTTTAATTCTATTTTTTTATTATTATTATTCTCATTTTGTACACTGTTACCCATCCTTTGGATAAATGTATAAATGAAGTTTCTAGTTAGAACATGCTTTTATTATTCATGCATGTCTATTAACAATAAGTTTCCAAAGGGTCTAAGATTTTAGCAACCTTCTTTTTCTTAATTTAAAGAGAAAGATGAAAGTTTCACAAGTGAATCAAAAGTTTCGACTTTATATGAGAGGAATATATGAAGGAGTAGAAATAATGCAAATAAATAGATATACAGTATTTAGAACAGTTTATTGTACAAGAATAACCATTATGAATTGTATAATTCAAAGTTAAGTTTATAAGCTTGCTTCTTATCTTTCTTAAATTTAAATCAATAAATTTCTAATTTAATTAATTTATCTATCAGTTAATGAAAAAAGATAAGAAATTTTATTTACTACATATTTTTTATATTTTAAGTATTAATCAATATGATGTACACTCTGCACATGCACAAAAGGGACAGTTCTATATCTCCATTTCTACAGAGCAGAATGATGAAATTTAACTTGCGTTTTCCAAGTTTCAAAAGTGCGATTTAGGATATACATTAGATTTATATACAGTATTGTTCTAACAAAGGTATTTTAACACAAAATCGAACTTCTTTCGAAATGACATATAGATTTTTTTTCATATCCATAATGAACAAGCATACTTCCTCGCAGAAAGAGGTGTCAGCTTACTACAACATCCTAATACAGCCATTTCTTACTGGAGGATTAAACCATTTTTAAAAAATTTATTTACATCTAATATTGTACAAGATCTTCAAACAACTTAAAAAGTAGGAGAAGGTTAAGTTATTCTCTTATTCTTGACAGTCCATGATGCAATGCAGTTGTGGCTTTTCATCTGTCTACAGGACATGATTGCCTTGTCGCTCACCAGCACCGCATAAGCATTTCAAGCGATCCTATTTGTCCACTTAGTAATTAAGGAGAAGAAGTGGGGTGGGACTACCTGCTCTGATGTAGTTCTCTTTGTGGTCTTACAGAAGAGTTGAGACACTGGGAGACATGAACACTCTTTAGGCAATGACTTCAGTCTTTTTGTCCTCAGTTCTATTGCTTGTAAGCTCTGTTTATAAAATTTTAGTTCTTTGTAACTTTTTGCCTAGCCATTGGAAATATATACATAAATTTAAAAAAAAAAATCCCCATATTTTGATTCTCTGACTCAAGTTATAACGCAGTGCCAAGTTTTGTAAAAATCGTACAAGAAGTTTTTAAAAAATCTCAGAATTTTAGCTCCTCAATTTTGATGCATATTTTGGTTAACTTAATTTGGTATTATCTCACTCTCTTTTTTTATATTAAACTTAATTTCTTCTTTCACAGTTTGAAATTTAAGTTCAATCCAAATAAAATTTGCAGATATTTTCTGACTTGTTTTTAAAATTTATATTTTTTGTAAATTTTTTGAAAAAATTCCTGAATGATAACCTATAAAATTTTTACCATCACCTTACACTAGATGTATATCTAGGTATACCTGAAAAAAATTAAAAGTTCTTATTCAAAATTTCTCAAGATATATGCAAATTTATGCGTAAGTGCGTTTTAAAATTTGGTATATTTGTTATACCTGATAATAAAACCAAATGTGTTTTACACTTTGTTAATATTATTTGAAAAAATGAACGATGCAGCTTTTTTTATGTTTGTGCACAATTAAAAGGAAAGTAAAATATAAGAGGCAGTCAAATGAAAACGAGACAGACTATATAATGGGCATGGCATGGAATTCGGTAATGCACGTAGATTTATGTATAGAAGCACCCTCTATTGGGAATAAGGAAGGAACAGTGCGAATGCTCACCACTGTGTCATTTGTCTGTTAGACGTACTCGAAGTGAGGTAAATGAGTAGTGTTTGTGCCCACCTTCACTATGGAGGCCAGGAAAAAGGAACAGCGTGCTGTAGTGCATTTTTTTGACTGCAGAAGGTAAATCAGGAAGTAAAATTCATGCCCGCATGTCTGCCGTATATGGTGAATACAGTATATTACATGCATGTGTGTTTGAATGGAATAAACAATATCGAGAAGGTCGAGTGTCACTGAAAGACAACAATTGGCCAGAGCAAGCTCATCCTGTCGTTGGTGCCATCATGGAAGACCAATGGAGAACAGTGGAAGACACTCGGCTCATGTTGGGCATTAGTCATGGCACCGCTCATGCAATCTTAAACATCTGAAGTTCTGGAAAATCTGTGCACAGTTGGTTCCCCACAGCCAGTAGAGTAGCAGAAGTTGAACAGAATGTCGACATCACTGCAGCACATGGAAAGGTAGCACGAAGAAGAATATCGTTTCTTGCCCAATATTGTCGCAGGAGATGAAACATGGTGCTTTGATTTGGAACCAGAATCATAGTCAACAATGGAAGCACACAGGTTCACTCCTACCAAAGAGATCCAAAGCCATACACATCAGCTCTAGGAAAGCTGACCTTTTTCTTTGACTGCAAGGGAACCCTGCTCATTGACCTTTCTGGAACATGGCACCACAATTAATGCACTGTGGCACTTGGAAACTTTGCAAAAATTGAAACACGCCATCAAGTCCAAATGCCCAGGATTACTGATGGATGGCATCATTCTGTTGCAGAATAATGGCCACCATGTTGCCATGGTTGTTAAGGCTATGCTGCAGAAGTTTCGCAGGGAAGTGCTTAAGCAACCTGTGTATAGTCTAGATCTCTCCCCTTGCAATTTCCATTTTGGAGCCCTGAAAAAAGACATTCATGGCTATAGATTTGCTTCGGATGAAGAGGTGCATGCCTGGGTACAATCATGGTACTGCAGCCAATTGAAAACATTTTTCCAAGATGTCATTGATCGTCCTATCTCACAATGGGATAAATGTATTAACAGTTACAGTGATTACTTTTGAAATAAAAAAAAAGCTTAATTACTTTTCCCCACCTGTCTCGTTTTCATTTGACTGCCCCTTTACCATAAATTAAGAATTTTTGCCAAGTGAATTACTCTTGGCACAAACTCAAAAAAGTGTACCACGATACATTTTTAAATTTCTCGGTGAGTTTCTCACCCAATTTTACAAAATTTAATATTTAGACATAATTTTAGTCATAGAATCGAGATATCGCTATGTAAAATCTCTATGTCAGTTCAGAAAAAGTCCGATTTTGTGTCGTCATGCTTTTAAGACATGAAAAATGCAAATTAAATCTTGTCAATCAGTCAAGTAGAACAGGAGATACAGAACCGCTCCCCTCTTTTTTCTGCAAAGTGTACCATAATATTTCATTAACGAATGGATATCTTATTTTATCCAACTGATGTATTATACATGGTGTGCCCAAAAACTAATGGGGCAAGTTAAAAGACTAAGTGATAAAATACAGAAGTGAAAGAATAAATGTATGTTTATATGTCTAGTAGGAGTGACATCTCTTGTTAAAGCAGTTTAAACTAGTCATTTTGTCATTCGCATATCAAAATGCCAAAGTCATTAGTGACATCTCCTGTTAAAGCAGTTTAAACTAGTCATTTTGTCATTCGCATATATCAAAATGCCAAAGTCATTTTTATTTACTGAGAAGACATCGCACGCACGCACACGCACACGCACACACACACACACACACACACACACAAAAGAAAGCTTTCAGATTTTACATTACACACAAAGAGGCATTTTTTTTAACATTTTGTGGGTTACTTTTATTTATTAAATATCATGTTCTTCGCACTTAAACCATTAAATTCAATTCAACAGCAATATCACAAAATAAATTTAAAACAAGCACATCTTCAGAATTTCCGTGAATTTTATGGTTTAAGTGCAAAGAACATGATATTTAATAAATAAAGGTAACCCACAAAACATTAAAAAAGAGCCCATTTGGACGTAATGTAAAATCTAAAAGCTTTCAGATTTCCCCCCCCCCTGCTTATTCAATGGATTAACACTATGCAACTATGTTTTATTTTTTAAAATCTATGCACCACTTGAAAACTGCTACTTTATTGATATATTTACCACCCAAGAAGCTATTACAAGGCCTTAAAACAACATCTATTTAATTACTTCTAAACAACAAGAATTCTATGCGTTTTGTCACAGTGCACAATACATAAATTTCAGAGAAAAATATTTTAAATAAATTAAGGTTAGTATTTCACTGCAGTAATTCATTATTTTTTTATACAGTATCAAGTGCTAATAGATTGTGTTGTTATTACAGCAATTAAAGGTGTGAATGAAGCACTGTCAAAAGATTTTAATGAAATACTCACCTATAAATGTAAACATCAACTAGGCCTGCAGTTTTCCCAGATTTGCGTTTTACCAGGTTAATCATCCAACCTTCTGGCACATCTCTTTGATAACTTTTATCGTCGTCCAACAATGGCGATGAAGACGTTGCAGTCAGACTTTCTGGTGACTTACTTACATTATTTAACCTTTTTGGTATTTTTTTAGAAATGGTCAATGGTGTACTTTTCCGTTTTCTAGTAGCTCTGCTGTCAGGTGGTGATGGTCCAGATACATTTCCTTCTTCTTTCCCATTTTTTAACTCTTCGCTGCTGGGCTCAAAGATAACATTCTCTTTCTCTTGAAATTTTTTCTTTTGTCCTCTTCTTCCAGCTTTGATGGCACTGGGATAATTTTTCTCATACTGTACTATCTTATCGACATCACAACGCATAAGTTTTATAGAAATGTTTTCCATAGCTACCATCTAAAAACATTAAAAGATACTCAGATTAAAATTCTCTATCTCTTTTTTGTTTAAAGGAACATACTATGTGACATTTCAAATTAATGATCATATATAGTAAGAAATTAAGGTTTGTATTTCTGTTAAAATTACATGTTTCTGTTATACATAATCAGAATTTAAAAAAAAAAAAAAAAAAAAAAAAAAAAAGGGAACAAAGTCAATTTTAAAATATATTGTTGGGCCACCTGGAAAGTTTTGTGATTTTCGAAGTCGAAGCATATTTTCATTTAATTATTTTGTTACTGCTGATAAGAAGTGACCTCGATCAACACAGCTGTTTAAATACAGTCTTTTTACATTCTCATGTCATAATTCTAGCCTGGGCTGAGACATAATTTTTGTTTCAGTGCAGTGCTAAGAATGGAGAACTAAGTTCACTTTTGTCATATTATGCTCCTTTATTTTAAGAAAGGAAAAAATGCTAATCAGACTGCTCATAAAATTTTGGTTACATACAAACAAAGTGCTGTCTAATGATGCATTTCAAAAGTGGTTTCAGAATTTTAAGAGTGAAAATTTCAGCTCAAAGATGATGCTCACTCTGGATGACCATCCTCTATAAACAGGGACGTGTTAAAAGGAGCTGTCACTGAAAATTCACGTAATACAGTCTGAGAACTATCAGACAGACTAAATACTCCAAATAGTACAGCACATAATTATTTGAAGATAACTGGGTGCATGGGTACTAAAAGCAGAATATACTTGCTTGAATTTCAATATGCGATTCTTGGCTCAAAAGAAATAAATTTTTTTTCCCCTATTTTTTTTACACGGCTCAGTACTGGAGATAAAGAAGTGAAGACTATACAGTACTGTTACAAGAAAAAGGACAGTCCAAAAGAACTTCCTTTAGCAAAACTGAGAGTAATGCTGCATCCCCCAAAAGTAATGCTTTGTGTATGGTGGAATAGAAAGAACTGTACTCTATGAAATGTTTCCATGAAATGAGATAGTAAATTTCGAAGAATAGTCTTCATTTCAAAATTTTGTGAACGGTCTTTGAAGACTCTCAAACAGCACCTCAATACTTTCTTTAAAAAGAAACCTAATAATGGTTTTAAAAACCATTAGTAGGTTTAAAGGAGTTATTAAAGGAGTTTCCAGTTGCTGGAGAGATGGCAAAAAGTCATAGAACAAATCTGCGCTTAATTCAATAAATTTTTTTTATGTTTTGGTAGTGCTTCATTTGTATTTATCATAAAAAGAACTCAACAACTTTCCGAATGACCCAACAGGATATATTGGATATTTTAACACTAATTTATTACAAATAAAAACTTGTTCAAAAACATATTGTTACATGCCAATGTTTTCAAATGGGAAGAGCTGAAAATCGCTGAGAATTTTTTTTCCCCCCAAAAATATCTTTTTCTGTAGTTCTTATGATTGTGTTTTAATGTAATTTTTATTGCTAAATAACATTTCTTAGCCTTTGATCATAGTGTGGTTCTCAAATGGTTAAAAGCAGAGAATTTATGCTTAAATTATACCTACTCAACAAATACAACAGCTGTAGCAGCAGGTTTCTGACTACCAGATTAATTCTAGGATATTTGTACCATATTAAGATCAGAAATTATACTTCCAAGAAATTAGTTTCTGTTATGGTTGAAGTACAGATTAAATGATACAAATATGGAGAGATTAATTCATCAATGTGAATGATTCTAATGGCCCAATCACATTACAGAATAAGAAGACATTGTATATGCAAGGTTATTAGGGATTACATAAATTCTAACTACTCTCTAGGCATAAGGTTCAACAATGTTTGCAGCATCAAGGAATTTTTGAAAGATTGCTTCATCTACTCTGATTATTCAATGATTTGTCTACAACTGAAATGGTGATCTAGAATGTAACAGATGGAGAGAAGAATGAGATATACAGTAGAAAAGGTCCTTTTTAGATGAATTCCATTCTGTCTGCAGTGAATGATTCGGTCTGCAGCTCATAGTCTTTGATAGCATAGCAAAGACTTATATAAATCTTTCAACATGCAGTGCCATATCGGACAGCCACTTAATGTTACAGTATACAGTGCCATAAAATTCATTAAACCTTTATGGCTTTCAGGCACACTGAACAGCTAGTATTTCAATCTCTGAATAGCTATTGCAACTTGCTGCATTTTCTTTCCTTCAGACCCTGATTGAGGTTAGTTACCAACCGGACAATACAAGACCACACATATTATGGTCAACAATTCCTGGATGGCCACTTAATTTTACTTCTTCCTCAGCCATTTAGACGTTTGCTAAATGAATGAGGCAGATTCCTAATTACAAAATGCCTGCCATACAACAGATACTTGCTGCTACAATAGATTATTCTGACAGTACACAAAAATTGACATACTAAATGCATACGTCTCCTCTTATCAGCCACCAAGCAGCAGTTACTATCGTCTGTGCTAACTACAGGTAACATTTTTATGTTCTGTATATCAAACTGAGCTGTAATTATAACCATTGCACTTTTGTACAATTGTTTACTCTTTCCAACAAAAAGGCTGCAATAGTTTATGATAATCAGACCTTAAACTTGAAAATACAATCAAATCCCAATTAACTGGATTGCCGAGACAAGTTAAGTTTGTTTATTATGGAATGACAGAAGAATTACTATCACAAACATTCAGAATAAAGAAACATTTTTATGAGAAATACAAAAAAGAGAAGAAAATGTGTCAGATAGCAGATAATTTATCAGTATTTAGGAATTATTTTAGTCACAATAATAGATGACCTGAAATATATAAACATTGTTAAATCACCCATTAAAAAAAATTGCTAAACTGTAAAACTAAGTTAAGTGCACTGCCACTTACTTTTGTTTCCCACTGACTTTTACTGAAACCCAAGCTAAACAAAAACATTGTTCTTCATGTTTTGAATGCTGATTTACTTAACAAAATTAATTTATTTTTCAAATTAAACTGCTTAAATATACAGGTAAATTAAAAACAGTATTTCTCTATTACTCATAATATAGGTTATTCTTATTTCTTGTGTTTGTTTTAACGCTGCACATTTTTCCTTGTATTATGCCATTTAATTAGGAGTCTACATTTTTCCAGTGAATTCTATCAATAAGCTTCATGACAAGTACAGCTATAAAGCAAATCACTGCAGATGTAAAAAATGTCCTCTCATTATAAATAGGGAAATCCCTTGTAATCAGCACCCAATTAACTGGTAACATCAAAAGAATGAGACATATGAAGGTTTAAATTCGGAATTTATGCCATGAGATAAATGTATAATGGGATAGCAGTCAGAAGATATAAATAATGAAAAAAATCTGTATTGTGTTTCTTCTGCTCAATATAATAAGCCTTATCCATAAACTGCAATCTACAGTAAAGTTTCTCAATAATCAATGAACGACATTTTTACAATTTCAAAAATGCACATGTAAGGCACATTTTAAAATTAACCATTAAATGAAATAAATTTAATTACATTTAACTTAAAATCCATAAATGCAAAAAACTAAATAATTAAAAACACTTCTTGTGAATTATATGCATAACTTATTTAATTAGCAGTTTTCATTTTTTTAAGCATAAATATCTCAAAATCTACTATTATATTATTGCAGCAAATACTTAATCACAAATAATTTCACAGCAAATTAGAATCCATAAACCACATATCCTTGAGGTTTTTAAATTCTAATTTCTAATAAAATAAATAAATAAATAAATAAAAATAAATTCTAGATAGAGACAAGGAACACACATATAATTATCAATAAAAATACTTATAATTCATTTAAAAATTACAAATATAAAGATTTATAAGCAGTGTGCTTCACAAGCTCAAATTCTGAATTGGATAATACTTTCACTATAACACCATTCTTCATTTACCTTACTTACTTGTTTAATATTCAAATGAGAATGGCTTCAAGAATTTTCATAAGATTTTTTTTTTAATAATAAAAAAATTATTTAACAGGTTGCATTTGAACGAGGTATTTTTTTGCTTTAAAAGTTGCTCCAAAACTGAAACTGGTAGTTTGTGTTCAATCAATCTAATTAAATAGCATTAAGCATTTATAACATTGGTTTTGCTGTTTTTTATGACAAAATTGGATATTTCTTTCGATTTTATAGCACTAATTGAAGGAAAATACACGCCATTCACAATCACCTTTTATCTTTTTATTCCTACTCTCTCAAGAAGTTGCAAAATAATCAGACATGTACTGTTAGAGGAGATGATAATGAGAAGGAAGGAAAGGAATTTGACAGGTAGACTAAGACAGTTACATGGATGCTGATAAGAACTTCAGATTTCATAAGATTTGACGAAAAATATTTATATGTCAGTACATGATGTAATGAAGCTTCAGTGTATATACAATGACTTTTTTTTAAAAGTATGGTGACAATCTTGTAAGCAGACAGACATTCAGAGTTACATGGTATCATGCTAAGAAATTTGTAACTTTCATGTGATAATATATATGACAATTTTAAAATATCACTTAATTTCATTTTTTTGAAATATAAGATTGTGTATATGTTTTAATTTTAAATAATTTGTATGAATCTTGATATTATTTAATTGTAACTCATAAATAAAAAAAAATATGGCCACGAAACATGAACAGGCAAGTTTTAGAAATATATAATCCATAATTATCAATAAAAAACAATTTCATCCAGAATCGACAAGGTCCTGCTGCTGCCAATTAATAGAGATTTTAGTGTACATAAAAATATTTCATGAGCTATCTGATGCATCAAAAGTAAGTTTTTGTATTTATTTGCAATCAATGTTACTATATTCAAATTATATACATTCTGTTACAAAAAAATATATGCACTCTGAAAAAAAATCGAGCCACAACTCAAAATGCAAATGTGGTTTGGCAAGTGATGAGCACTTATAGCTGCACTGATGGCTTGGATACACGACACTGTAGCAAAAGATGCCTTTGAGACA